CCTTGAGCCAACCAGAGGAGCCAGCTGCCCGGGCCTCTGAGGTCCAGCTGCCTGATCAGGAGAGACCGGCCTCCGTGGAAGCTTCTGCCAGAGAGGCCCATGGCTGACGGCATCGCTCCTCAGAGCTCGTAGGGGGCTCGCCTTGAGTTCTGCCTGGCCCGGTCACCAGTCTCCATCTCGGGGTGCTCCCTGATGGCTGGTCAGGGACCCCACTTGAAAGGCGGTTGGTGGACCGTCTGTGAATCACATAGACACAAAGAGAAAATGACTCACGGTGGCCCGGGCTGGGAGGAAGTGCGGGTGCAAGGTGGTGGGGCGGCTCCCCCTTGCAGTGCCCTCCGGTAGTGCCTCAGGGAAGGCGGTGTTTCCCCGAGCCACATTTCCTCATTTGTAAGTTGATGATCCCTGGAGCGAGACCAGGCTGGGCTGCCACACGGAGTCCAAACCGGTTGTTGCCGAGTCTGTTGTAACTACGGCGACCCCATGGGTCAGAGCACAGCTGCTCCATAGGGTTTCCCACTGTAGTCCTTACAGGGAGCACCTGCCTGGGCAAACAGGGAAGCCCTTGACTCCTAGCTAAACAGTTGGTGGTTCGAATCCACCCAGAGGTGCTTCGGACAACAGGTCTGGAGACGTGCTTCCGAAAGGTCATGAGCTTGAAAACCCCACGGAGCGGTTCCACTCCGACACATGGGGGTGCCGTGATGCAGACCCCACCCCAGGGCGACTACCAGTCCCAAGCACAAGGGTGGGTTCAGACCACAAACTTGTAGGAGGAGAGCTGAGGACAAGGCGTTTGTACCACCAAGGACCTCGCCTGTCACACAACATGCTCAATGCACGTTGGTGAGATTTGAATGAGAAAATAGAGCCCCAGCTCTTGACACAGCAGGTGCTCAATGAACGTTGGTGAGATTAATTAATTAAATGAGATAACACAGCCTCAGCTCTCCAGAATCCTGGGATCACTATTTCTTGCACGCCTTTCAAGTGCAAGAAATCTCAAGATGGCGGGCCTTCCGGGAAGTGTTTGAAAGCCAGTGCTCCTTTCCTGCTTCCTGCTGACTGGGACAGAGCCGTGATGGCTGGTGCTGGGACAGCCATCTTAGATTGTAAAGTGGTTTGGGGAATGAGGGCTTTGCAAAGGAGAGCAGCCAAATGTCATTGGCCTGGGGCCCTGAGACCGGAGGCATGAGTAAGGCTTCACCTGTGTACCCCAGGATTGTGGCATGGAGAATACACAGACTTGCATCCCGTGAAAGGCAGTGCAAGGAAGCACTCTATGAACTGTGAAAGCCGTGGAGAGAGGAGGTTGTGGTCTTGGCTCCAGTACCCAGGGTGCAGGAGAAGGTGGTTAGGAAACCTTCAGTCCTGCTTAAATGGGGATGGTTGCCCATGCCAGGGAAGGCTTTCTAAGGCACAAAATTGATGCTGGAACTGAGAGGTCTAGTACGACTGAACTGAGTAGAGAGGTGGCAACAAGAGTCCTTTCAGGCTGCAGAAGCAGCACGTGCAAAGGGCCTGAGGCCAGCGGGATCTGTGAGAAGCAGTGTGGCTGCAGCAGGGAGAGGAGGCTGGCCCGTGGGCCCCACGCAGAGCCAGACGGGCACAGGTCAGGGGTTCCATGTTAATCCATGAGAGAAAGGAACTCTCAGTGGGTGACAAGCCTGCGGAGCCACGAGAGGCCCTCCTTGAGCCACCCGGCAGCTTCCCCCCCACACACCAGCTGAGCCACCTCATGAGTGCCTGGGCAGCAGACAAAGGCGCCTGCCTGGACCGCTGTTACCTGCCCTTGCAGACAGGCTCCATGCAGGAGCGGCCCCACTGCTGGGGATGGTCCCTATGGGGCTTGTCGGCCTCAGCTGCAGGCTCCAGCCCCCGGTGAGGCCACGAGTGCC